CTCACGAGAATTACCAACCCTCCACGATTATGAAATGACACACAACTGACAATGGGAGAAACTGATGACCAATGAGATAGAAGCCACGATTCTAAATGGGAGAAGTTCTCTTGCCACTTATTTTAACGATGCCTATTGATATGCCATTTGAATTCAAACGTTTCCTTAACGTTTCAGTTTCCTGTGGGTCTAACTTTTGCGATAACTATAAACAAATATCAAGGACAATCACTGCAAGTGTGTGGATTAAGACTTAACAAATCCATGTTTCTCACATGGACAACTTTGTGGGCTTCATGGTGGAAGGAAAACCTTCCACCATGGTGGGCTTTGCTCTCACGTTGAAAAACCAAATAATCTATTTATTTACGCACCAAACGGGAAAAGTATAGTTTACGAAAAAGAACTTGATTACATTTTTTGAAGCTAAATGACGTTGTACTGTTTAGCAAAAAAGAAAAATAATCTAACTATACCATTATAAAGAAGAGGTGGTGTCTGTCTGTGTGTGTGTTTGTATGAGATAAACTAAAAAACTACTGAACCGACGTGGCTCAAATTGGACAAAAATAAAGCTAGAGCTTCAAGGATACATATTATTTCCGCTTCGATATTGACCCAGGACTCTGCCCCACAGGCTTTCAAAGTTCTGGGGTGAGAGTTTTAAAAGTAAATATTGATTCGTCTCCATGGTAACAAAGAACAAACCCACAAAACTTAAATGTAAACTAGAAGAGCTGCAAGGCACGGATACATGTATTATTAAAAATAACAAAAATAAGGTGCTCTAAAAATGTAAAACACCTCTAGAAATTCAATATGGAATGGTCAACTTTCTTGAAATCGGAGCAACGCTCGACGGGTAAGCTAGTGTTTTATACATATAACTTATATTGAAACTTAGCTCCTAAAAATAACGAAACTTTGTGTTTATTCCGTGCTGTCTCCATCAATTTTAGTTCAAATCAAAGCTTTTTAAATTTTAAACGGGGTGAACACTCTCACCAATAACTGTGAAATCCACAAAAAGTTTCCGGTGATGAAACAATCGATAATATTAATAAAAAATACCTGCAAGACATATACACGTTGCGGTCACTGTTAAAATAAAATAATACATTGAATAAAGAACATATACTCACATAAAATACGTTGCAGTCCCTTAGAGTTCATACAGATTAGAAACTAACACAAGCTAATAGTATTCAATAATCCTCCACTTAAATTACTTTTATTTTGAAAACTTGTCATTCTCATGAGTGTTTCACATTTCCTATTTGGAAATTTCGTGTCAATAAAAAGTCTTGTACATGCTATAACTCGTGTTTGTTGTTTGATTTCTGATAACAACGAGATATCAATAGATTGTTAAATTTTTCCTTTTCTACCATAAACACTGTAATTTAATATTATCAAGTTCACCATGAAGACTAAACACGCACTTGTATTGTTAGGTAAGTAAATTTGGTTTCAGTTATAATATCTTTTTAAATTGAATCAAACTGAATGATAAAACACTTCTTCAAAGCTATAACTTATCTGACCACTTGTGTAGTAGATTTGAAGCCAATTGCGTAAAGGATGTTGTCGATACATTCTAATGTTGTCTACGAGGCCAAAAACATTATTCTTTAAAATGTTTATATGTATAAAATATTAATAGAAAATAAACCAGAGTACCCTTTTTTAATTATTGTAAATGACTAATGCATTTTGACTCTTGTATCACGGTCAAAGTCTCAATATTAATAAATCGAAAAATGTAAAAAAATAAAATAAATACAATCATATGTTTAAATTTTATTTTAACTAAATTTATCTTGTCTTGGAATAATATATAATTTTGAAAACCGTTAAGCCAAATGGTTTTATTTATTTGTCTCAGCTCTTTGATATTTTCATAAATTCATAAATCACCCAAGAGTCGAAATGCATTAGTCGTTAAAAATAATTTTAAAAAGGGTACCATGGTTTATTTTATATTAATGTTGACTATAGTTCGGCCGCTTAGAAAACGACCTGCGCGCTAATGCTAAACCAATGCTGGAGGAGGTCGCTTTCTAAGCGGCCGAACTATAGTGGCCGTCCAGTGGTCGAAAACTCGACCAAAAATATGTAATGTGGGCATTGCATATTGGATATTGAAGTAGACATTCCATTCATATGGACGAATTTTTTAATTAAAAACATGTAGTTGTGTGAACCAGTCATGCGGATCTAAAATTATATTTTCTATCTTATCTTTTGTTGCTGACGAAGTTAATGGGTCATAACAGTAAGTTTGACTTGGAAAAAAAGTCCTGTATTCGAGAGAAATTAGTCATTTAGATCTTAATCCGACCTAGAACTCAACCCTTCTGCTTTATCTATTGGAGGCCCACATCAACTACGACAAATTTAATCAACAGTGGCGACAGCTTTAACATAGGGATGGAATGTATAGTTGTATGTCAAAGTTACAGGATTCTCTATTTTCACCCCACACTGTATATAAAACATGTGATTGTAATTTCTTCAATTTGTTTTGATTTTCTGTTTATATTTAGTTGCATGATCGGACCATGGGAACTGGGTCTTATAGGTGATTTTATGGGGTAAAAATGGGGGATTTCCATTTTTGACCCTCAAAACACAAAGTGTTCTCAATTTCTCTCTAGACTTTTTAAAGAGCATAAAACAAATGATTCAATACTGTATATTAAAGTATTTTTGTACGGTTATTGGTTACAGAGAAAATTCAAAGAATTCTTATCCAAAATTCCTACGTTATTCTTTAGGTAAACTATTGTATTTTGATTAAACTTGGCAAATTTACTTACCTACGACAGTTTTTTAAAGTAGCCATTTCAGTCCAGTTCTTAGAATTGAAAAGTTTCACTTTACAGCTGTTTACTTTCATATCCGCATAGTTTCATTTCATATCCGCATAGTTTTCTCATATCCACACAGGTAACGGACCAATGAGGTTCAAGTATTGAGAGAAAAGAATTAAAATTGTAATGCTTCGAACGTCAACTAATCAGCTGATCAGCTGATCAGTTGACCAATTTAATTGTTGATCCGACTTGTTCATGTTGACAACTCGCGTTCATGTTGTTGATGTACTCGCGTATTCTTAATTAAGTTGGTGGAAGTCCAAAAATAAATTAAATATTTGCCGAATTGTACCTGATACAATATTATTTATGGTAAGAATGCTGCTAGCAATGTAATATTTAACGAAGTTTAACAAACACGTAATTACAGGAAATCAGCTGATTATACAACAAGTCGTTGCATCACTTTCAGTGGCAATGACAATACACGAAAACATAACCTCTCTAAAAAGTTATCATTAGTGATTGTTAGTAATTAAATCCAGATTGATAGTAATTAAAAAACGGTCGTAGGTAAAGTAGTGTACGCAACTCGCGTTAATAGTCTTTACGACACTCGTAGAAGTTTTTAAGGCACTCGCCGACGCTCGTGCCTTAAATTTTCTACTCGTGTCGTAAAGACTCACTTAACGCAATCGTTGCGTAAACTACTATTATTTTATACTAAGCTATTTAAATTTTTTAACACAATTTATTATCCTCCCTGTTACAGTAAACCTAGGAACTTGTTAAACCTAATGTTAATTAATTATATGTATATAATTGAAAATGTAATCAGGCGAATGGACATTCGCTTATTCTGCAGGTTTGCTGATTCGGGGGTATTTTTTTTCAAAGAAGATTTAAAGACACACGTCATTCTTTACTATTTTTGTCCCGTCGCAAAGCACGGTTGGAACAACTAGTTTATCATAATGTCATGATGACAATAATAGACGATTCCGATACAGTCAAAATCTTCGCTCGATGATGGTCGAAATTTTGAATCTACCACAATGGCGGAGACATTATCACTATATCCCTCTATAGTGGCGTAATTGATAGCATATCCTGCTATCACAAATTCATCATCATCGTCTGCCTCAAGTGTAAAATCTTAAAAATCCCTCGTGATCGCGAAAAAGACATCATGATTGACTTTCGGATACTGAATTAAAAATTACATTTATATGGACAAATATTTATACAATTAGATCAAAGTCGGGAATCCATTGTGGCTGGCACAGAACTTGTTCTCATACCATCGTGCATTTATCATTAACAGAGTAACACTATTATAGGAGCTCTGCTGGTTATGCAGTGTGTGATCGCAGTCCTTGCTGATGCTGCTGGGACACCCGAGGCATCTGGTCCTCGTCCTGAGCCAGTTCCTGCACCAGTCGCTGTCCCTTCTGCCTACGAGGAGGATGAAGGATATATTACATTAACAGAGTAACTCTATTACAGGAGCTCTGCTGGTTATGCAGTGCATGATCGCAGTCCTTGCTGACGCTGCTGGGACACCCGAGGCATCTGGTCCTCGTTCTGACCCAGTTCCTGCACCAGCCTCTGTCCCTTCTGCCTACGAGGAGGATGAAGGATATATTACATTAACAGAGTAACTCTATTACAGGAGCTCTGCTGGTTATGCAGTGCATGATCGCAGTCCTTGCTGACGCTGCTGGGACACCTGAGGCATCTGGTCCTCGTCCTGAGCCAGTTCCTGCACCAGCCTCTGTCCCTTCTGCCTACGAGGAGGATGAAGGATATATTACATTAACAGAGTAACTCTATTACAGGAGCTCTGCTGGTTATGCAGTGCATGATCGCAGTCCTTGCTGATGCTGCTGGGACACCCGAGGCATCTGGTCCTCGTCCTGAGCCAGTTCCTGCACCAGTCGCTGTCCCTTCTGCCTACGAGGAGGATGAAGGATATATTACATTAACAGAGTAACTCTATTACAGGAGCTCTGCTGGTTATGCAGTGCATGATCGCAGTCCTTGCTGACGCTGCTGGGACACCCGAGGCATCTGGTCCTCGTTCTGACCCAGTTCCTGCACCAGCCTCTGTCCCTTCTGCGTACGAGGAGGATGAAGGATATATTACATTAACAGAGTAACTCTATTACAGGAGCTCTGCTGGTTATGCAGTGTATGATCGCAGTCCTTGCTGATGCTGCTGGGACACCCGAGACATCTGGTCCTCGTCCTGAGCCAGTCCCTGCACCAGCCTCTGTCCCTTCTGCTGACGAGGAGGATGAAGGATGTATTACATTAACAGAGTAACTCTATTACAGGAGCTCTGTTGGTTATGCAGTGCATGATCGCAGTCCTTGCTGATGCTGCTGGGACACCCGAGGCATCTGGTCCTCGTCCTGAGCCAGTCCCTGCACCAGTAGCTGTCCCTTCTGCAGACGAGGAGGATGAAGGATGTATTACATTAACAGAGTAACTCTATTACAGGAGCTCTGTTGGTTATGCAGTGCATGATCGCAGTCCTTGCTGACGCTGCTGGGACACCCGAGGCATCTGGTCCTCGTCCTGAGCCAGTCCCTGCACCAGTAGCTGTCCCTTCTGCAGACGAGGAGGATGAAGGATGTATTACATTAACAGAGTAACTCTATTACAGGAGCTCTGTTGGTTATGCAGTGCATGATCGCAGTCCTTGCTGACGCTGCTGGGACACCCGAGGCATCTGGTCCTCGTCCTGAGCCAGTCCCTGCACCAGCCTCTGTCCCTTCTGCCTACGAGGAGGATGAAGGATGTATTACATTAACAGAGTAACTCTATTACAGGAGCTCTGTTGGTTATGCAGTGTATGATCGCAGTCCTTGCTGACGCTGCTGGGACACCCGAGACATCTGGTCCTCGTCCTGACCCAGTCCCTGCACCAGCCGCTGTCCCTTCTGCTGACGAGGAGGATGAAGGATGTATTAACAGAGTAACTCTATTACAGGAGCTCTGCTGGTTATGCTGTGCATGATCGCAGTCCTTGCTGATGCTGCTGGGACACCCGAGGCATCTGGTCCTCGTCCTGACCCAGTCCCTGCACCAGCCTCTGTCTCTTCTGCTGACGAGGAGGATGAAGGATATATTACATTAACAGAGTAACTCTATTACAGGAGCTCTGCTGGTTATGCAGTGCATGATCGCAGTCCTTGCTGATGCTGCTGGGACACCCGAGGCATCTGGTCCTCGTTCTGACCCAGTCCCTGCACCAGGCGCTGTCCCTTCTGCTGACGACGAGGATGAATGATGTATTACATTAACAGAGTAACACTATTATAGGAGCTCTGCTGGTTATGCAGTGTATGATCGCAGTCCTTGCTGACGCTGCTGGGACACCCGAGACATCTGGTCCTCGTCCTGAGCCAGTCCCTGCACCAGGCGCTGTCTCTTCTGCTGACGAGGAGGATGAATGATGTATTACATTAACAGAGTAATACTATTACAGGAGCTCTGCTGGTTATGCAGTGTATGATCGCAGTCCTTGCTGATGCTGCTGGGACACCCGAGGCATCTGGTCCTCGTCCTGACCCAGTCCCTGCACCAGGCGCTGTCCCTTCTGCTGACGAGGAGGATGAATGATGTATTACATTAACAGAGAAACACTATTATAGGAGCTCTGCTGGTTATGCAGTGCATGATCACAGTCCTTGCTGACGCTGCTGGGACACCCGAGGCATCTGGTCCTCGTCCTGACCCAGTCCCTGCACCAGGCGCTGTCCCTTCTGCTGACGAGGAGGATGAATGATGTATTACATTAACAGAGTAATACTATTACAGGAGCTCTGCTGGTTATGCAGTGCATGATCACAGTCCTTGCTGACGCTGCTGGGACACCCGAGGCATCTGGTCCTCGTCCTGACCCAGTCCCTGCACCAGGCGCTGTCTCTTCTGCTGACGAGGAGGATGAATGATGTATTACATTAACAGAGTAACTCTATTACAGGAGCTCTGCTGGTTATGCAGTGTATGATCGCAGTCCTTGCTGACGCTGCTGGGACACCCGAGGCATCTGGTCCTCGTCCTGACCCAGTCCCTGCACCAGCCGCTGTCTCTTCTGCTGACGAAGAGGATGAAGGATGTATTACATTAACAGAGTAACTCTGTTACAGGAGCTCTGCTGGTTATGCAGTGCATGATCGCAGTCCTTGCTGACGCTGCTGGGACACCTGAGGCATCTGGTCCTCGTCCTGACCCAGTCCCTGCACCAGGCGCTGGTCCCTTCTGCTGACGAGGAGGATGAAGGATGTATTACATTAACAGAGTAACTCTGTTACAGGAGCTCTGCTGGTTATGCAGTGCATGATCGCAGTCCTTGCTGACGCTGCTGGGACACCTGAGGCATCTGGTCCTCGTCCTGACCCAGTCCCTGCACCAGCCGCTGTCCCTTCTGCTGATGAGGAGGATGAATGATGTATTAACAGAGTAACTCTATTACAGGAGCTCTGCTGGTTATGCAGTGCATGATCGCAGTCCTTGCTGACGCTGCTGGGACACCCGAGGCATCTGGTCCTCGTCCTGACCCAGTCCCTGCACCAGCCGCTGTCTCTTCTGCTGATGAGGAGGATGAATGATGTATTACATTAACAGAGTAACTCTATTACAGGAGCTCTGCTGGTTATGCAGTGTATGATCGCAGTCCTTGCTGACGCTGCTGGGACACCCGAGGCATCTGGTCCTCGTCCTGACCCAGTCCCTGCACCAGCCGCTGTCCCTTCTGCTGATGAGGAGGATGAAGGATGTATTAACAGAGTAACTCTATTACAGGAGCTCTGCTGGTTATGCAGTGTATGATCGCAGTCCTTGCTGATGCTGCTGGGACACCCGAGGCATCTGGTCCTCGTCCTGACCCAGTCCCTGCACCAGCCGCTGTTCCTTCTGCTGACGAGGAGGATGAAGGATGTATTACATTAACAGAGTAACTCTATTACAGGAGCTCTGCTGGTTATGCAGTGTATGATCGCAGTCCTTGCTGATGCTGCTGGGACACCCGAGACATCTGGTCCTCGTCCTGAGCCAGTCCCTGCACCAGCCTCTGTCCCTTCTGCTGACGAGGAGGATGAAGGATGTATTACATTAACAGAGTAACTCTATTACAGGAGCTCTGTTGGTTATGCAGTGCATGATCGCAGTCCTTGCTGATGCTGCTGGGACACCCGAGGCATCTGGTCCTCGTCCTGAGCCAGTCCCTGCACCAGTAGCTGTCCCTTCTGCAGACGAGGAGGATGAAGGATGTATTACATTAACAGAGTAACTCTATTACAGGAGCTCTGTTGGTTATGCAGTGCATGATCGCAGTCCTTGCTGACGCTGCTGGGACACCCGAGGCATCTGGTCCTCGTCCTGAGCCAGTCCCTGCACCAGTAGCTGTCCCTTCTGCAGACGAGGAGGATGAAGGATGTATTACATTAACAGAGTAACTCTATTACAGGAGCTCTGTTGGTTATGCAGTGCATGATCGCAGTCCTTGCTGACGCTGCTGGGACACCCGAGGCATCTGGTCCTCGTCCTGAGCCAGTCCCTGCACCAGTAGCTGTCCCTTCTGCTGACGAAGAAGATGATGGACTTTTGGGTTCTGGAAGTGGTCTTCTTGGAGTTAAAGTGTTAGGTTTGATCGATTTATAGATGTTAATAAAGGTATACATATATACTTTACTATGAAAAACCAGAAACAAATTTGTAACATTCGTTTTTTTTTTACATTAAACTATTTATACTAGGTTTTTCTATTTTATTGAGACAATTTCCTACTTTATCTACGTTTTCGTGACTAAATTTTACTAAATCTGATTGGTACATGATGTGTATTTTCAAAGTACACTAGTTGAAAATAGCTCTAGCTGTTGGGCCTTCCTCCGGACGTGGGTCAAGTAGTAAGTTAAAACTAAACATAGTCCGGAAAAGCTTGTTTACATAATAGATATTTTTAGAGCTGCAGACAGAATCACAACGTGAAAGTAGCTTGTTAACAAATTTTGCGTAACCACGCTTTTTTCATCAAATTTATTTTTGTCGCAATGTATTTTAAGTCCAATGAGTATACCTTGAAACAGCAACTTTGCCTATGTGAAAAGCCTTGAAGTGTAATTGGGAGGCTGATTTGTACACTGTTTGATAAATAGGTATTTAGCATAATCCACATTCTATTACTACTCCGTGGCCAGTGAACCCTTAGGATATTTTCAGCCTCGCCAACACACATCCATTTTCACATACTTCTTCAAATTTAGACCCTTCGAGACTTCTTTCATTACTTGGTCTTTCCACTTCATTCTTGGTGTTCCGAATGGGCGTCTACTTTGTGGTTCTCATTTTAATAAATTTTTACGAGTTAATGTATTTTCTCTCCTCCACGCATAGCCTGTCCATAATAGCCTTTTACTTTTGGAAAACACCTCAATATCAGGTAATTTATATATTTTTATTTGATCTGTGTTCTTTCGTATCTTTCGACCTCCTTCATCTTGAGCTGGTCCATATATTTAGCGACCAAACTAGGTAATAATAATAATCATAACTTAACTAGTTAAGTTTTTAACTTATAACTTAATTAAACTAATTATTAGCTAGGTACTTCTGATCTAATTTTTCATGTTAATTTTTAGATAATGGATGATAGATTCTATATCAATTATCTATTTAAATTTGGATTCAGCAAGTAGATACATTTTACGTGAACCGGATGTACCATTGACTTTAGATACTGCAAGTAGACATCCCATTTATGTGAACCAGAGCCAATCAATGCATGAACGAATGAATAAACAATACTTATTTATCAGAGGTGAATTTATGACCATGTGGTCTTTTCTTGTTAACTTCAACAATCAATTCGTGGTTATATTACTCACAATCTTTGGATTAAAATGCTTGCTCCGCTCAGTATTGCAAGCAGAAAACGACATTGTACACTTAAATATACTTGGTATTTAATTGTTTAAAGGACATAGGACTTATAAAACACTAGTAGGCCTTCGACAGTGTATTTTCTTGTCAGATAGGACCTGTTTGTGGCATGTAGCTATTGAGGCTGATCCGCTTACTGGCCACACTCCCCCGCTGAGTGGAGTCACTTGTAGCATTTGCATTATCCAATGTATAAACAATGACTTCAAACCTACAAACCTTACTTAAGTGTTTTAGATTGAATTGTTAAACAAATTAATATTTTGTGAGGTTCTTCTTTTGAAGCACGGTATGGGAAAGGAAATATTTCATTCGAAATCATACAGGGTGTTTTTTTAAAAACTTGCATCTTTATTTATGTAAAAACCGCAATAGATAGAAATATGCAGTTTGCGGGAATCATCTAGTGACGTAGGGGGCCCAAATGTTTTGAATTCAACGTTACATTCACATTCCCCCCTTCCCCCCTGCCCCCAACTTATTTTTTTTACATACCAAGGTACCCCTTGTGTCATATCAAATGAAAGAGCATAAAAAAAGAAAATGTTTGATGAAAAAAATTAAAAATCGGCTCATAAATTTGCGAGATATCCCCCCCCTCCCCGGAACTTAATTTTTTTTTAATAGCAAAGTACCCCTTGTGACATATGAAATGAAAGAGCATGAAAAAAGAAAATGTTTGGTGAAATTTATTTTTCATTTGATA